CCACAGTAAAACCCCCCCCCCCCAAGCCACAATCACCACTCCAACCCACAACCACAAATCCAAGCCACATTAACCACCTCAAGCCATAGCCATCATGCCAAGCCATAGCCAAAAACCACTACCTCAAGCCACAACCACCACTCCAAGCCACAGCTACAAACCCAAGCCATAACCATCACCTCAAGCCACATTAAACACCTTAAGCAATAGCCACCACCCCAACCCACAGCAAAAAACTACCACCCCAACCCATAGCCAAAAACTACCAACTCAAGCCACAGCCACCACCCCAAGCCACAACAAAAAACCATCACCCATAGCCACAACCACCACCCCAAACCACAACACCAGCCAACAATCCACAACATTGACCAACACAACACAACTCATAGCACTGACAACCACGACCACAACCCACTACACTGGCCAACAACCCACAGAAACCACCACACAACCCAACACTGGTCATCACAACACAACCTACAGCCACAACCAACAGCAAACCACAATATTGGCCAACACAACACCACCCACAACACTGGTCAACACAACACAACCCACAACCACAACACTGGCCAACACAACAAACCATAGACACAACCCAACACTGTCCATCACAACACAACCCACAACACTGTCCAACACAACACAACCCATAACACTAACCATCACAACACAACCCATAACCACAACCAATAACTAACCACAACGCTGATCAACACAACACAATCCACGGCATAACAAACCATCACATCACACAACAACACCGGATGACACATTACCATGACAATCCAACACTAGCAAACCACAGATTCAGGCCATCACAACAGCAACCACTGAACAAACCATCACAACAGAAATCCAACTCTTCTCAAATTCACAAAAAAACAAAATAGGTCATCACAACAAAAACTCATCAGCACAGCAAAACAAACCCAACACCACAGCACAATAAAACCAACTTCTCCTCAAATTCACAACAAACATATGCCCCAACACCATTGCCTCCATCACTACCATAAAAGACCAACAAATAAATCAAAAAATCTAACAGAGACATCAATATCCAGCAAAAACGGGAGACCAAAATGATATTCAAGAGAGAGTACAGGGAAAGGGGATACTGGACTTTAGAACAAGACTTTGCAGAGGAGATCGCAGAAGGTCGGGTTAGGGCAGACGACGAGCGAGAGATCACGAGGAGTTCGTCGGGTTTGGACAGATGGCGAGTCGGTGGATGGCGGAGGAGCGAACGGGTAAATAATTCCGTAAGAAACGCGGGCCGCAGGGTCGAACAACGCACTGCGACTCGAAGCTAAAGCCGCCCCAAATGAACGAAAACTGCAGCATGCAGCCACACCGCGGCCCGAATGCCACCCCAAATGTGGCCTAAGATTACACACGAGGATAACTGTGGGTAGTGGAGGCTTCCTTGCTGCTATGGGTTGTAAGCTCGCTGCTATGATCTGTAGGTTCATTATTATATATATATATATATATTGAAAATATTTTTGGTTGGTATCATATTTGTATGTTATTTATTTATTTTGTTTAAGAAAATAAATCAAGTGTGTTTTAAAAACAATTACCTCAAGCAAGTATATTTTAATTTAAATCAAAATATAAATAAAATAAAATAAAATAAAACTGAAAACAAAAGTGATCCCAAAAGGTATGCACGTCCCTTCCTATTTCAGCTAGCATAACACTTTAGAATTTTTTTAATTTTTTATTTGTATATGTACAAAGCGATGATATAGCTGTCAATGGCTTTATCTTCTATGGTTATTTGGCTTCAATTTTTTTTTACATAATTTGATTTCTTTTTGTTCATTTTTTAAGTGTCTCAGAGAATTGTGCATTTAGGGACTAGTTGAGGAAATGGGATTCCTTACTAGCAATAGATCATCTCAGCCAGTGGACAAGGCTTTGTCCAGAATCAAAACAAGCTTAAAGAAATGTAATCCAAGCAATGGACCTGATAAGAACCTGCTATTCTTGCCCAGTAGAAAGACTTCTGCTGCTTACTTCGAGTCAGAAATTGAAGATATTGATATTGATATGCAGCTAAAAATAGCGGAAGGAATGTATGATGAGAGTAATTACATGTGGTTATCTTCAGACTGTGACTCTTTGCCCAGAACAAAGACTTCTGCTTTGTTCTCTGAGCCAGCAACTGAACTTATTGATATTGACATGCAGTTAAAACTCACTGAAGGAATGTCTGATGAGAGTAATTGCATGTGGTTGTCTTCAGACTGTGACTCCTTACTTAGTTCTGATTTATCAGGAGATATTTATCAGTTGAATAGCTGGAATCATTCTTTCATAGATGGGCTGCCTCTGATGAAGGCCGAGAACCCTGATTCTACTGTACATGATCTTCAAATTAATCTCAGTGGCGAACATTTAAAGGAAGAGGGTGTTCTGAGTGACCAATCTATTTCTTTTCATGGGAGTAGTGATTTCTCTTATGATAGATTTCAAAAGGGCTCATCGATATATGAGAGTTCAAGCGCATCTCTTAGTACAATGGATGATTTTGATAGAACTGGATCATGGATCACTCCATTTGATCTCAATCTTGAGAGTTCTGAGTTGATACAGCTGAAAGATGGAGTAAATTCTATTTGTTCAGATTTTTCAAGCCCTATAAATAGTTATAGGAGAAATCCTCAATCAGAATCTTCATTTTCTAGTCCCAACTCAGTAACTACTATTCATATGACAGAGGCATCTAGCAGTTTGTCAAGCGAGTATGAACAAGATGAACCTCTCTTCTGGCCTTACAGTCAAAACCTGTATGAGAGTTCCGAATTGGGTAAGAGTTTCTTATGTATTTCTCCTCGGAAGGAAAAGAATACGGCGAGAGACAAGGTAGTCAATGAGCTAAAATCAGTAGAGGGCAAGCTCAAGAAGACCGATAGTTTATCAGCTAACAAGAAGAGTTCCCAACTTCAATGTGGCAGAAGGCCTGAATTGAGTCAAAAGCCAAAAAAATCTGCAACATGCAAAAATTATAACAATTCTCAACGCCCGCCATTGCATTCAAGCACATATTTAGCTCAAGCTTCAGCCAAGTCATTTCCATGCAACACCTTAACAAAAAAAAGGATCAAAACCACCATGAAAGAGACCACTCAGCTGAAGTCTAAGAACCAAAGAAGCAAGGTGGAAGAGTTGCCAGCGAAATCTTTGCTAGAGTTGGAAGCCACCTTTTTTTATGAAGTTTTCATGGAGGATGCGACAATTGAAAAACTTGTTGGTCTGAATGAGTTTGACAGCCATGAATGGGAAAACTTCAAATTACGTGAGGATTGCATTATCGAGGCAATGAAGAAAGAGGAGAGGTCCCAGTTAGGCAGAGAGACATTTTTCCTCCAATTATTTGGAAAAACCTTATAACTAGTAATTATAAAAACTTTGCTCTAGAGCTGATTTCTTGTACACAAGTAATTAGAATAGGCCATGTTTGTTCTTTAAGGATACCTGTTAGAAAGAGAAAAGTTCTTTGACAGAGTAGAGAGACTCGTATCTTCAAATGTTTTCAATGGAGCAAGCTTATAGGATAGAATAGCTAATGAGCGTGCTGTGTTGGATTCTGAGATCAACCAGCCAGCTGCGGCACTAACTTTAAAAGATTCGAAGGCATATGCCCCAACACCATTG